TTGTTGTCTTTCACACCATTCTGTGTAAACCTTAGAGACTCTTGTGTGTGTGAAAATCCCAGGAGATCCAGCAGTTTCTGAAATACTCAAAGCAGCCCATCTGGTACCAACAACCATGCCACAGTTAAAGTCACTGAGATCAGACTTTTTCCCCAATCTGATGTTTGATATGAACATTAACTGAAACTCTTGACCTGTATCTGCATGTTCTTATGCATTGTGCTGCTGCCACATGATTGGCTGATTAGATAACTGCATGAATGAGCAGGTGTACAGGTGTTCCTATTAAAGTGGACGGTGAGTGTAGATATGCCATGATTGTAGATATGGGTATATGTGTGTGTAAAAGAGAGCACAGTGTTCTTATTCACATCCAGCCATGCGCATTCAGTCAATAATTTAGCAGTAGGATTCATTTTCATTCAAGATGAATAAGTGCAAAGAACACGTCAAACTCGCAGACGTTTGTACAAATTAGTGTTTATTTGTTTTTATCATAGAACATAGTAAGAGCTCAGCTCCATATCTCCACCCACCCCACACACCCACACACACAGAGGGGTGGGGGGCAGACAGGAAAACATATCAACCAATTAAATCACAGTCCGCTCGGCCAAAAAACAGGAGAGGCAGAAAAAAATAAAGGAAACGCTTAACCTTAGTACTTCTGGGTGGAGCTTACAGACACCTCAATCTCTAACCCCACTCCTGAACACGCACACAAACACACACACACACACACACGCTCAACACGTAGATTTATTCAGTGTTATGAATGCCGACAGAGCAGTTGGTCTGAGTTGTAAGGCATGATTGCAATTTTTCATTTCTATGATATTTTCCCCTCACTCTGTAAGACAGCAGTTCAATCGTTTTCGTGGAATGTTTGAAGATATAAGATGCTTGAATGAGTACGGAGTGGTGTAAGAGTACTGAGGCGTCCAGACGGCATCTTCAACCCAGAACCAAACTGACATTCTGTAAAAAGTTGCACACACACGCGCACACACAAGCTGACTTACAGAGACAGCTCTATATCTACACACATCTAAACGTAGCCAGACACTGGGATGTGAGAGGATTTTTCAGATCAGAGAAAGGAAAGATGGCCCTGCTTTAAAACATCATAACCGGGACCATTTCCCATCACTGACTGAAGGTGTTTTTTTTTTTCTTTTACAGACTTTGACAAAAGTATTTGACACTGTTAACATGTGTGTTGTGCCTGGTCCCGGTATTCTCTTCTTTTTTCTTTTTTAATGGATATTCATGGGTCCTTATCAAATGGGTTCAATTCAATAAAGAGAAAGACAGAAGAAGAAAGGGAAACATTGACCTGTGCTAGAAAAGCGCTTCATCCACATCTAAATATCGAACACACGATTCAATAAGGACACGAAAGCTTCTATAGGACTACCACAGACTAGCCATCGGACTAAGTTTCGGACAAATGTGTTACACAAGCGCAAACAAACTCCCACAATTCCTCTCTGCGTTCCCATGCACTCTCCTGGGCGCCTGAACCTTGCTGTGTTCATCAACAAACAAACAACAAACAAATAAACAACCCATACAAAGTATTAACAGGAAACAACACAGACTTTTAAGATGCCACATGGTAAGTCATAAAAAATAATGACAATCAAAAGAAAAAAAACAACAAAAGAAACCGTGGCACCGCAAGAATCTACAGAAAGCATGATGTCGGTAAATTCCTTTAGAATGCTTCTACACGGCTGACTGATTAACTCTACCAATTATATATACTTGTGGGCCTTGACAGGCAGCTAAAATCTATACAGTACTCATTTTTCATATATTTATACTTTTTTACACTATACAAAGTTGGCAAAAAAATACAGAAATAAATCCATGAAGATTGTACACATATGAGTGCTGACACATAGAGCACTCTTCATTGAAAGTGGGGTTGGTTTGGGGACAAACTCAGAAAGCGCACAAGAGAAGGAGAGAGATGATCAACCGTTCGCTTCCCAGAACACATTATTATAAATGATAATAATATTCATTGTATTATCAAATCATTTCAGAGAGACTTAGGAGAAAGCATTTTTTCATTTTGTCAGTGCTGCCACTTTTTTTTAGTCGTCTCTTCGCTTCCAGACCGTAGAAAAACAGCCACCGGTCTGCTTATTAGAAAGGTTTCTTTCTAAGAAACTTTCTACTTTTCTTCATGTCCTTAAATGTGTACTGAGAACTGGCTATGAAATTAAACCTTGAAAGCCTCTCAGAAGGCTGCAAGAATGCAAGCTGAATTTCATTCTTTATACAATAGCTTTGAAACGACAAACAAGAGTAGTCACTGTGAGTGGCGAGTTTGTTTGGAGCTGAAGACTTCAATTTGCATTTGCGATTGTTAGTGACTGTTATTCTCTGAAAGTGACTCACAGCACATGAGCAATGATGTAGAGGAGACAGTAACAAGCTGGAGACAGGAACGTATAGACTTGCGACACTGGCTTGCTGACATTTATAACCACCATGCTGAGCTACATCATATGGGAAACAGAAGGAGTGTCATCAACACACCAATTTGTCTGTTTGTGCATGTGTGTGGGTGTGTGTGTGTAGGGACCCTTTCATCTGTGTCAGCAAACCCTCTCACCGATTATCTCCAAACATCTGCCAGCGCGGTTATAAAGATGTGACTGTAATACTCACAATCATGTCATTAACGCTGTTCCGCTTATATAGAGGAGTTATGGGTAATTTAAGGTGTTTAATTTAATTTAATGTGTTCTGTAACAGATTGTGCCTCTCCTTCTCTTGCATCTCTGCTCAGTCGTCCCCCTCAACCCTTCCTCCAATGAAGATACAGTGGACATCAAATGCCCTTGTTCAAGAAGGGCGTATCACCATCATCATCATCATCATCATCATTTTCTAAACCACCAATAATATTTTATCATTATTACAAGTGGCAATTAAAACATCTTTACAACCACAGAGTTGCTCATTTGTCAATTATTTACAGGAAAAAAACTATTTTCAAAACATAATATTAGGGGTTTTATTATACCCCCTTTTCCAGTTACTTTATAAAGAAACAAACTCAACATTAGAACACCTACTCTATCACACATACACGGTTATACACAGACCAACATTCAAATGTAAACAGAAAAAGATCAGCTATTATTACTTATTGTAGTCATTTATGTTCATTTAGAATAATGTGCACAGAAACCCTGACTGGGAGTGGCCAAGCCGGTGCACGGACCAGCGCTTTAAACAATGAAAAGGTGAGCAGATGGAGGCTGGGACCAGAACAACACACACTGAGACAGGCAGAGTGAAAGAGAGAGAGAGAGAGAGAGAGAGAAAGAGAGAGAGAGATCAAGACTGATAAGTTCCTCTGAACACACTTCACCTGACGGAGCAAGCTTCCTGGCTGACTGAGCCCTCCCACCAATACATTGCACTCTATTAGCCCCTCTCTCAAGCGACACTGGATTACAGACCTGATCTGCAGATACACCAAGCTGTAAGACGAGCCCTGTCCGGTGGGAGCAAATCAGTGATAAGCGCTATAAGCTGCTGAATGAGAACAATATAATGCATTGCTGGTATCTGATGCTAGTCACTCTGTGCGTGTGTGTGTGTGTGTTTGAGGACACATGGCCCTTAGGGGCAAGATCATTGCAAACAATCAAAAATCAGAGCTTTGCACAATAATCTGCAAATCTCACCACAAACCGTGCTGACCTTTACTGCTAATAAAGCTTGAACTATTTGAACTGAACAGGAAGGAAGAGAGAAGGATGAAGTCTGGAGACAGGACTGTGAATAAACATGTGGGCAGGAAGAAGAGAAGTCTGAGGAGAATTATCGCCTTCTCGAGCGTCTGCTTCTCTCTCACTCTTGTCACGACTCGATTTGATGCCTTGACAGCTTTTCCACTGACAGAAGGCAGGAGACAGTACTGAGTTAAAGTCTTACACTGCAAAAAAATGATTGTTTAGCAAGTTAAAATATCATATCTTTATTATTTTTGTTTTTAAACAAAAATAAGATTATTACGCCTATATTTTTACTCATTGTTTTATTCTATTGGCAGTTAAATTTTTGCTAATTTCAAGTTTATTTCTAGTAAGAAGGATTAATAGAATAAGAAAATTTTAAGCCTGAAATTAGCAAATATGTCCAGAAATACACTTATATGTGTATTTATATATATATATATATATATATATATATATATATATATATATATATATATATATATATGATCTTATATCTGTTATATAATAATCTCTAGAGAACTTTTCCTTCATTCAAGATATCTTCACTTACTAAGATATAATTTTTTTGCAGTGTATGACACCTGATGGAAAAATATAATTAAAGCTATTTACCTAGGAAACAACTGCTTATTTGTTAAACAATAATACTACTACTACTACTACTACTAATAATAATAATAATACTTTTTAAATCAAGTATTAGCGTGACCTCACATGGTATGTCCAAGTCTGTGGTAGATATTTCCACACTTAGTAATGTTCATTTACTCTTGAACTTGTCTCTGACGCATTATGTTTATGCTGGAGGTTTGGTAGTACATGTGAAGTTTAATAAGGTAAGATTAGTTTGTGGATTTATTTTATTATTTATTATACCATTGACTTTTCGTTTGTCTGGCACCATGTATCATGATGTAACTTTCAACAGCTGAGGTTAATTAGCTTTAGCTAACATTATGTTGCCTTTATAAATGAATGATTTTGTTGTAAATGTAATTGTACATAATCCTATTTGACTTTGTGATGTCACATCATTTACAATTTCGTTATTGCCAATAACACATAAGTATATTAAAATATGTTGTTGTTCTTTCGGCTGCTTCTTTTAGGGGTCGCCACAGCGGATCATTGGTCCGCATGTTTGATTTGGCACAGATTTTATGCCGGACGCCGTTCCTGACGCAACCCTCCCATTTTACCAGGCTTGGGAATGTACACTCTCAGTGGCTGGGTTGGTTCCCTGCTTGGGAATCGAACCCCAGCCATGGCGGTGAGAGTGCAGGATCCTTAGCCACTAGACCACCAGGGACCCAATTGTATTAAAATATAATTCTGTTCATCTCTACTCTTATTTAGTAAGACTAGCTTATTAATATAGTTGTTTTAATAATCACATCTGTACATTTAGCTAGATCCCACTGCTTTGCTGTCAGTTTTCAGGAATTGGGCTCAATCAGAATATCAGTACTCTTGTAATATGCAGAAATTTGTAATGGATATAACAACATAAATGATTAAAGATTGAGTTACAATATAGATTGAGTTACAACTGATTTGATCAGATTAGACCTGCATGTCTCTAACAACATGTTCGCAGTAGGTCAGTAGACTTTTTAACCTCTGGCTCAGAATTCATTGTTCTACTGATTTTCACCAGATCTCCTACATCAGAGGTTCCCAACCCTGGTCTTGGAGAACCCCCTGTCCTGCACATTTTAGTGCTTTCACTGTTTCAACACACCCACGCCAACTTATGAAGGGCTGTTAATTAGTTGGTTCAGGTGTGTTAGAGCAGGGAAAACGTCACAATGTCAATTTAAACCTTGAGCTATTTCAGTATTTGTAATGACCATATAATAATCGCATGTGATTTTGCTAATCACTGGTATGATAGGTAAAATCGGGTGTGCTGATTGGCTGGACTGGACTAAGCGGAATAACTGGGAGCCAAACCTGTGTCCATCTCACAAAAGAGCAGTAACTTTTCTAGAAGACAGAATATTGTTTTTTTGTGTGTGTGTGTATAATAATGTTTATGTTAATCTGAATATTTATTCTGTTAAATAAAGTTGTAACAAATCAATAAACACGTTGTCCAGATAAATAGCAGACGTTAAACTTTTGGACAGTACCATAAAGTTTAACAAGCTCCATACTGAAGCAGCAGCAATGCAAATGCTCTGTATGATGCAACTGAGTGAAATGCAGAGAAACTGCCTCACAACTCAGATGGTGTGTGTCTCACTTCTCGTCTCGTCTGTACTGTTCGTCTCAATCTCGCGTTCTGTGTTCTGCCTGCACAGCTCCAAATTTACAAGACTAGAATCAAATTAACCAGTGACAAAGTACTGAGAATGCACCTTTTTTTTAAAAAAAAAAAAAATGATAATAGTGTTTGTGGGGGTGTGTACTATATTAAGCTCAGATTGACACCCCACCGTTGATCCAGAAGCCTCACAGAGAGAGTGTAAAGCACTGTGACACCTTTTAGACTCCCACTGTCACAACCGTCCCATTCAAACAGCACCCACACACACAGCAGACACACAACTCGAAGAACACTATACAAGTCTCTGCGTTTTGTTTTTTTTTAGTACAGACATCTGCAGAAAGCTTGGCAGTATCATTTCTTAGTAAAGATCTAGAATAGACATCATCTCAATACAGGCAGTATTTAATGAGGTCACACATATCGGTACACAGGCAGTGTTTAATGAACACACTAAGTGGCAGTGTTTAATTAGTTAGAGCACAGAAACACACAAGCAGACCTGGGCAGGGTTTACTCATTTCAACCACTCCGCATATCAAAGAGAAGACAACAATACAAGATATAAGGTGTTGTGAAATACAGAACACACGCAGCTCGTGCACTCCTTCTCTAAAGCATTCTGCACTAGACAGAAAAAGAGCTTTGCTTTTAAATGCTTTTATTATCGCTAATGCGGAACAAGGAATGATGCTTATAAGAAGTGAAGCTTTTATTCATTCACTAATTGTTCATGAGCCAACGCAACAAAGGGTGGAGGCCACATTAAGCCACAAAAGCAAGCACTCAACGAGAAGCGCTCCATAGATATGGATTGCCATTAAGTGTGAATGGGCGTAATGGTGGATTGATTAGAGCTCAGCTTTCTTACCCAAGAACAGTGAATGATCGGAAAGCAGCATGAACTCACAAGTGCTGTCCTAACTACCCAACAACCCCACAGGGACCCAGAGTCACATACACTTAAAAACCATCCACACACACACACACACACACACACGAACACATCTACTGAATTGATTATCTTTTTGAAAAAAAAACCAATACGCACCACGAAATATAACACAGCATAATAATTATAAAGCGACATAACAAACATGCATTGTGATCCCAGATCTTAGTTCTAAAGTTCTTCTCAGTTCTTGTGGTCCCAGTTTTCAAAATAACTAAATATGCAGTTCAGTCATCTTACAATGATCTTAAGGCACATTATTTAGTAACTACAATAAATCATTCAGCGACTATAGTGAAACTAAGAGGGAAAGTGGGCAATGGAAGTCGAGACCCACCAACGAGGCCTGGGAGATTAAGGAGTTAAATATTTTCCAGGCCAGCGTGTGATATAACTTCATCACTACTATATTTGCAATATATACCCAAACTCAGTCAAAAGAATCTCTTCATTCCTATTGATTTTTGCACAGTTACTAGTTTCAGTCTTTCAGTCTTTTTTATGCTCCCTTGAGTAGATACGGGGTTGATTTCATTTAACAATCTATTCCAGTCTGCTGAGCTCTTAAGTCTAGCTTTTTCTTCTGCCAATGCTTAAAATTGGCCAAGGTGACTCTTCTGTTCTGACTAAGTACCCTCCAACAAGACTGCAACATCAAAATAGCTCTAAAGACTGAGGATAAAGACTGAGAGCCTTCACTCTACTGCCATTGTTTTGTTTTTTCTGTTATTCCTTAGGCTGGGTTTTGTGGCAGTGCTGTCGATCCACTATCCCAAGCTGTAACTGTGCTTACTCTGTTCTTCAAAGTTCCAGATGAAGCACAGACACGAATCCGGCATTTAGGCAAAGTCCTAATATTATGCTGCCTTTATACATAGATGAGTTTTGTGTAAATGTATTTGTTCATAATCTTACTTAAACTCTGTGATTTTATGTTATTTACAACTTTGTCACTGCTGATAACTCATAAGTCAATTAAAATATAAGTGTGTTCACCTATACTCTTATATATTACTAATAGCTTATTAATATATATATATATATTTTAATAATCATGTCTGTACATTTAGCTACATCCCACTGCTTTGCTCAATCAGAATATCAGTATTCCTGTAATATGCAGAAATTTGTAATGGATGTAACAAAATAAACGATTAAATATAGATTGAGTTACAACTGGTTTTATCAGATTAGACCTGCATGTCTCTAACAACATGTCTGCAGTTGGTCAGTAGACTTTTTACCTCAGATAAGAAGTTCCAGATAAAGCACAGACATGAATCTGGTATTAAGACAATGTCCTGGGTGTTTGTTTAGAGAAGCGTAGCTGTTCTTACTACTGTGTCTATGTCGATCAATGATTTTTAGTTTTAGGCCTGACACTATTCTCACACCAGCATGTATCCCAGCGAGGACGAAATGATTCTACATCCAGATTTCTGTAAAGCTGCTTTGTGACAAATATCACTGTTATATTGTGACAATGTAAAACATGCTATATAAATAAAATGACAATGAATTTATTTAAATTCTTAAGAATGACAAGGTACAAACGCTAACCCCTATCCACTGATATCTCTATCAAAACTATAATCTTAGTAACTTTTCATTCATACAACTAAATTTGTCAGTTTGTTAGAAAAAGCTGGACGTGGTGTCAGTAACTGCTTTTTGTTCTATTGTTCCAGAGATATTACTGTCTGAAGCCAACATGACAGATATAAGTATCTCAGTGTCTCAGGCACATGACCAAACAAACTTGTTATGATAAAGACAAGCCAAGATCATTACTGAGAACTGTAGAGTATGTCTTGTGAATATCTATACACAAGAACACTGGCATAAATGGTGACAAAGAGCCAACTTTGGATATCAATATTACTTCTGATCTTTAATTTCTAAGGTGAAAAGTGCTTATATCCATTACATACTCTAGAGAACAAGGGTTCGGTTTAGTATTATTCAAATGTGTACAATAATAATAATAATAATAATAATAATAATAATAAAAATAATAAAAATATTAATAATAATAATACCCTAGCTATTTATTGGAGCTACAGAGCTTTTAATTCCTGAACTTTCCATTGACAGAACACATTAGATCCCAGTAGACGTTATGTAAGTTTTTGAGTTGGTGAGGTTTGGATTAAGCCTTCAGGTGACGAGTCAAACAGGCTAATTATTATTACTTAAAAAAAAAATCAGTAATAAACATAACTTTGGTAATGGTGCGCTGTGATTTCGAGCTTACTAACACACTCTCACAGGTAAATAAGATGTAACACATTTAAGACTTTACCACGTATAGTACATGCACCTACAGGTGAAATCCATGTCTTGAAGGCCCTAATGTAAGTGATGGATCAATGGATAGAAATCAGAACTGTTTTACAGCAGATTAGAGAGACAGTGTGTATGAGTGAGAGAGGGAGAAAGAGACAGAGAGAATGATCACTCATTTGTCAGTGCTGTACTGTCTGGCCCAGCCTCCATGTATTGCTACACCCATCTTACCTCCCCCTTAAAATACAAAAAAATATTACTGTTAAAACATTTATTATTATATTTATCATCATTATTACACTGCCATATAGTGCAGGTTAACTCTATCTCCATGTCATTTTCAGAGGCATACAGAAAGACAGAAAGAGAAAAGAGGATAACCTTGCATATTGGCTGCTTTTTCACATCACTGATTTTACACACACACACGCACCCACACACACGCACACACACACAGTCGGGTAAAGGCAGTATTAGGGCAAACTCTTTATCTTAAAGATTCCTGCAGAGACTTAACCCCATCAGCAAGTAAAGAAAAAAGAAAGAAAATCACGAGAACAGAGCAGACTGCTGTACAGATGCCCTGACGGGGCGCGCAGCCCACTTCTCACTTCTCACAGCAAGTTTGGAAGAACATTTTGCTTCAATTCATCAACTGTCTATTTTTATGGCAAGGATGACTATCTTTTTTGTACTTATTTTTCCTTTCCCTCTGATTTACTGTATATCTCTTTTACAAATGTTGCAGAGGACCTGGAACGATTAGTCTCAAAAGTTAGTGGTTTTCCCTTCAGTTCACTAA